GACAGCCACACCCGCCCTAGACAGCTCACCCCAGCGGGGGATCTCAGTGGCCTCAGGGAACTGGTGACGCCAAGCGTCCGTCAGGCGGCCAAAGCAGCGCTGGGTGGAGTGCGCACCCCCGCACTGCTCACCCGCGCGGTCGCCGGTGCGGAGGACGTAGGTGCACGGACCAGTACCCCCACCCGTCTGGCGTGCAGCGTACCACTCACGGAGCTGCTGAGGGGAGGGGATGTCACGAGTGCGCTGCTGCTGCTGCTGCTGGCGCTGACCACCACCGGAGCCGACTCTCTGCGCAGCGCCACCCCGACCAGCTCCACCTCCTCCGCCGCCTCCTCCTCCACCGCCGCCACCTCCGCTCCCACCGCCACCGCCGCCGCCGCCTCCGCCTCCACTGCCACCACCGACACCTCCACCCCCGCCACCACCCCCACCGCCACCCCCACCCCCTCCACCGCCTCCACCGCTGCCTCCACCGCCCCCGCTAGCTCCTCCAGTGCCCCTGCCCCCCTTGCCCTTGCCAGGGCGGCGTCTCCCGCTAGGGGTAGACGCCGCACCGACCGACTCAAGCCCAACGAGGTCGGCCGCAGCAGCAGAGGCAACAGAGGGCAAAAGGGGGGAGGGGGAACACCCCTCAAAGATGGGGGTGCGAGGGTCACCACGAGAGGCTCCTACAGCTACTATGCTCTTCTCTGCTGCTAGGAGGGACTTCTCGAGGAGGTCAACGGTGAGAGTGGTGGGGCAAACAGAGAGGAAGTGGTCCCTGACTACGTGAAGGGAGTCAGGGAGCCTGGTGACTATGTAGTAGAGGGTGATGTACATGGGGGGGGGGTTCTTGGCGCAGAACTCTGCAGGAAGCGCAGCGCGGTAGCGAGTGTCACTAGTGCGGAGGTGCGTAATGAGGTCAGCGACTGTGGGAAAGGCAGCAAGGTCAGGGAAGAGGTACGGTAGCATGAGGCGGCTAAGTGCAGCAGTAGCAGGGGAGGAGTAGCGCGCAACTACAGCGTCGTACAAGGTCTGAGCACTCTTGTACTGGCTAAAGTGCGCACGCTCAGAGGTAGGTAGGTGGCGACGCACAGCAAGACGTGCAGCAGCATCGCGCGTGGCCCACTGGGAGCGAACAGTGGCGTCAGCAGCAGCAGCGGGGGCAGGAGAGGCACCAGAAGTGAGGTCAAAGAGGGAGAGGCCGTCTGCCCTGTCGCACTGTAAGAAAAGCTGCAGGTCATCTATCCAGACGTCAAAGTCAATGGCCCGACCCTCAGCGTCAAAAGCGAGGACACTAGGGGTAGCCATGACAGCAGTAGACTAGCAGCGCAAACAGTAGGGTGAGGGCAGTGCTGTGAAAGGGGCGCTGCTCTTACCGGACAGGGCGGCTCGGGTGGCTCGGCTGTAGGGCGGCTCGGCGGCTCGGTTGCTGGGCGGCTCGGCGGCTCGGCTGCTGGGCGGCTCGGCGGCTCGGCTGCTGGGCGGCTCGGCGGCTCGGCTGTTGGGCGGCTCGGCTGCTGGGCGGCTCGGCTGCTGGGCGGCTCGGCTGCTGGGCGGCTCGGCTGCTGGGCGGCTCGGCGGCTGGGCGGCTTGGCTGCTGGGCGGCTCGGCGGGGCCGCTGAGAGGGCGGCGTCCGGGGCCGCTGGGAGGAGGCGGCGGGGCCGCCGAGAGGAGGCGGCGGGGCCGCAAAGGTAGGTGGCGGGGCCGCAGGTAGGTGGCGGGGCCGCTAGTAGGTGGCGGGGCCGCATGTAGGTGGCGGGGCCGCTGGTAGATGGCGGGGCCGCACAGGCAAGTGGCTGGGCCGCGGAGGTAGGTGGCGGGGCCACACAGGTAGGTGGCGGGGCCGCGGAGGTAGGTGGCGGGGCCGCACAGTGAGGTGGCGGGGCCGCGAAGGTAGGTGGCGGGGCCGCACAGGTAGGTGGCGGGGCCGCGGAGGTAGGTGGCGGGGCCGCACAGGTAGGTGGCGGGGCCGCGAAGGTGGGTGGCGGGGCCGCACAGGTAGGTGGCGGGGCCGCGGAGGTAGGTGGCGGGGCCGCACAGTTAGGTGGCGGGGCCGCGAAGGTAGGTGGCGGGGCCGCACAGGTAGGTGGCGGGGCCGCGGAGGTAGGTGGCGGGGCCGCACAGGTAGGTGGCGGGGCCGCGAAGGTAGGTGGCGGGGCCGCGTAAGGTGGCGATGGGCGCGACGGGCGCGACGGGCGCGACGGGCGCGACGGGCGCGACGGGCGCGACAGGCGCGACGGGCGCAACGGGCCGAAAGGGCGGCGCGAAGGGCCGTAGGGGCGGCGCGACTCGGGCCGGAGCAAAACGCGCTCCGGGCAGGAAAAAAAAAAAAAAAAAAAATCGTGGTGGTGGGCCCTAGGAATCGTTCTCACTAGGGAACCTGCTCGATACCATGAGAAGAAACGAGGAATGGAATGACTAAAGGAAAGTTGGGTACAAATGCAAACCCTAGGAAAACTATACCCCATATGTGCTACCCCACTATAGCCTACAGTAGCTATGTCATATAAATCTGACATGTCTACCCCACTGTAGCCTACAGTGACTAAGTAATATAAGTCTGACACACCCCCATAGGCAGAGTGGGGAGAACTAGGGGTCACAAGACCAGTCAACCAAAGCAAAGCAGGCTCAGGGTGGATCACAACGTCACCACACATTCCGAGCACAGGTTCAAGGCCACAAGGCCAGTTCACATGCAGGAGTATATATAAAGGTAAACAAGCAAGTGCAGGTTTATATAGATCCCAGTACAAACAAGGTCAAGAAGTAAGCAAGTGAGGCCAAGTAGGCACAAGACCTACCAAAGTACAAAAACGCTGATGATCACAAGGCTGAAGTGCCTTGGTAAAGATATCAGCAGTGTTGGCATGAGAGGCCACGTAAGCAAGGCGCAGCTGACCACGCTGCTGCAGCTCACGAGCAAGGAAGTAGCGAAGAGCAATGCGCTTCGTTCTGTGCTCCAGTCTGTGCTCCCGACACAAGGCCAGCATGGCCTTGTTGTCTACGTACTGAACTGGAGGAGAACGAGGCGGCTCTCCCAGGTCAGTCAGCAGGTAGGTGAGCCAGCGTAACTCCTGTGCAGCCATGGCCCCTGCGTAGATCTCGGCCTCACAGCTGGAGCCGAGAACAGAAGACGAGCGGGTAGACCGCCACGAAACAGAGCCGGAACCAAGGCTGAAGGTGTAACCCTGTGACGACCGTTGCGTAGCCAAGTCGTCAGCCCAAGAAGCGTCTGCGTGACCAGTGAGGACCACTGGACTCTGCCCTCCAAGCACAAGCCCCATGCCCGACGTACTGCACAAGTAGCGCAACACCCTCTTCGCTGCAGCCATGTGCTCTGGTCGGTGTCTCCCAGGAGCAACATAGCGTGCCAGGATTCTAAGAGGGTATGCTAGGTCAGGACGAGTGCAGGTCATCACGTACATGAGGCAGCCAACAAGCTCTGGGTACGGGCCACTCGGCTCTACGGACTCATCCGAAGGCAGAGCTGAGAGCGAGTGGCGCGTAGACAAAGGAGTGGCCTGAGGCGAGGAGTACGTGAAGTTGAAGCGCTGAAGGACCTGCTGCACCATGTGTGACTGAGTCAAGGTAATGGTGCGGCGTGCTCTGTCCCGGGTGATCTGCAAGCCAAGATAGCTGCGCAGCTCACCCAGGTCTGTGCACGTGTGTCTCTTCTGCAGCTCCGACTTCACGTGGGCGAGTCCAGCAGTGTCAGCAGTGGCAAAGACCAAGTCGTCGACGTACAAGAGGATGTAGAACGGCGGCAGCGAGGTGTCGGTGCGTAGAAACAGCGACGGGTCAGCCGTAGAAGGAGCAAACCCAAGAGCCGCAAGTGTGGTCCTCAGTGTGTCGTGCCACTCGCGGGGAGCCTGGCGGAGACCGTAGACTGGCCGCCGGAGGCTCCACTGGGTACCAGGAGGAAACGACCCAGTGAATCCAGGAGGGCGGCGCAGCCAGATCTCCTCGTGCAGGCTGCCCTGTAGGAAAGCAGTGCTGAAGTCAAGAGAGTGGAGCTCGTAGTCACGCTGAGCGGCTATGTGTAGCAGCACCCAAAGAGTGGTCATCTTCGGGGTAGGGGAGAAGGTCTGGAAGTAGTCAACTCCCTGGCGCTGACTGAAGCCTCGAGCCACGTAACGCGCCTTGAAGACAGGCGGAGAACCCGGCGGCCGCTTCACCCTGTAGATCCACATGCCACTAACAATGTTCGCCCCAGGTGGGGGAACCTCGTCGACGTAGGTGCCTGTGGACTTCCAGGAAGCCATCTCTGCGTCCATGGCTGCCTGCCACTGAGAGGAGTAGGGACCCTCTACCGCCTCCGCGTAAGAGCGCGGAGTCGGGATGTATGGTGCATCCGGGTCTCCCTCAGGGGCAAGCAGCATGGACACAAGATGAGGTAAAGCAGCAGCAAAGCACTGGAACTCCTCCTGCCTGTCCTCAAGGACGTCCGTGCCAAGAGCACACTCACCCCCAACGGACGGAGGACAGACAGACTCAGACTCAGCAACAAGACAAGCAGCGTAGTCTAGACGACAGTGAGCAGCGAAGTCGACCAGCTCAGCAACTAAGGAAGACGCAGCAGTAGACTCAAAGGAAGGGTCAGTGACAGCAGTAACCAGGAGACGCGTGACAGTAGGACTGACAGCACGAAGAGAGTCAGACTCGGGGTCAGCAAGAGCAGGAAGAGAGGACTCTGGAGGAGACGGCAAGGGGAGTCGCAGAGGAGCAGTGGAAGGACGCAGTGCCATCTGGTGCATGCCTGGGACCGCAGGAGGACGCTGACGCGGAACACGGCGACCGGTGCGAACAGCACGAACAGGCGACGCTGGACACGACTCAGGCTCACGACGCTCAGCAAGACCTCCAGTAGGACCAGTGTAGGGAGAAGGGGCAGGCAGTGGACAGGCGAGCTGTAACTGTGACGCGGACGGGGCGGGCTGTGGACACTCTAAGGCAGGAGAAGAACCAGAAGAAGGCGGAAGGCCAAGAACCTGCTCAAGGAGCGGAACGAAGTACGGTCAAGGCCGCGCAGCACCTCCAGAACCAGCGGGGACAGCACCAGCACCCCCAGCGGCAGCTCCGACTCCAGTAGCACCTCCAGCTGCACCAGCAGCGCCAACTCCAGTACCCCCAGGAGCACCAGCTCCAGCAGCACCTCCAGCACCAGAACCTCCAGCTCCAGCTCCAGCAGCAGGAGGACCACTAGAAGACGCAGCAGCTCCAGCTCCCGTACCCCCAGCAGTGCCTACTCCAGTAGCACCGCCAGCTCCAGCACCAGTAGAACCACCAGGCCCAGCAGCTCCAGTACCTCCAGTACGAGCACCTCCGGGACCCGTGGCTCCAGTACCCCCAGCAGCAGTAGAACCACCAGCACCAGCAGCAACACCAGCTCCAGCAGCACGACTCCAACGCCGAGCAAACCACTCGCGCAGCTCCTGTGGAGAGGGTAGCTCTCGCCGACGCGAAGCACCCGAAGGACCTCCAGGCTCCGCACCCCCAGGCTCCGCACCCCCAGACTCAGCAACCCCAGGCTCAGCACCCCCAGACCCAGCACCCCCAGTCCCAGCACCCCCAGTCTCCGCACGCTCAGGCTCAGCACCCCCAGACCCGGCACCCGCAGGCGCAGCACCCCGAGCAGCACCAGAGTCAACAGCTACCTTGACAGGCTTGACTGCGTCTACCTGAGACACACCTGAGGGGGCAGGACCCTGAGGGGGGAGGGGGTCTACCGGGGGGGGACCTGGCACGAGGAAGAGCGGCGGGGGGGGGAGGGGGGCAGCGCGGTAGGGGAAGAGACGGTAGTACGGAACCGACTCGTCAAACGTGACGTCCTGGGAGGACAGAACACGGCGCGAGGTGGGGTGGTAAAACTGCCAACCAGGCGCGTCAGGGGGGAAGCCAAGGAAGACGCAAGGAACAGCACGGGAGGACAGCTTGTCCGCAGACAAGTCTCAGACGAACGCCCGAGATCCCCAGACACGGAACGCAGACGCATCGCCAACCTTCCCGGTCCACCGAAGGGTGGGGGAGGTCTCCGGCAAGGAGACCCGGGGCTGAAGGTTGATCTGCTGCGCCGCGTACTGAACCGCGAACGGCCACAGAAAATGGGGAGCAGCCGCATGGATCATGGACGTACGAGCGACGTCCATGACCATGCCAATGCGGCGCTCAGCAATCCCATTTTGCTGTGGAGAGGCCGGAAGCGTGAACGTCTAGCGGATGCCCCTCGCACAGCAGAAGGCTCGCAGAAGGTCGGAGGAAAACTCTCCACCTCTGTCGGAGTGCAGACGCAGAACAGGAAAGTCCGAGCCAAAACTCCTCCTCAGCTGGAGACGAGCAGCGCGGATCCAGTCGATCAACACCTCAGTGACCTCACCCTTGGTGCGCAAGGGGAAGACTGCGGTGTAACGCGAGTAGTCGTCAACCACCAAGAGAAAGTAACGCTCGTGACGCTGTCCACGGATGCGGGCTGGGCCCCACACGTCCATGTGAAGAGTCTGCAGCGGAGCCTCTGTCGGCGGAAACTCAGAGGAGTGAGGAGCGGCGCGCTGCCGCCCCTCGACGCAGGGAACGCAGGTGGGGGCAGGCCCCGGAGGAAGGGGAGGGAGGGACCGGGGGAGACCAGAGACAAGGTAACGGGAGGCCATGCCTCGGAGACGAGGCAGGGAGGGGTGACCAAGGCGGTGGTGCCAGAGGAGAGTCTGGTGAGACAGGAGACGACACGAGCAGGGGGCAGACTCAGGACCAGACCTGGACGCTGCAGCAAACACCTGACCTGACGCAGTCACCTGACCAGACGTAGCAACCGGAGGAGACTCAGTAGTCAGTGTGTACAGGCTCGACCCCGGCTGACGGGTAAACGTGGCCAAGTGTCGGCCCGTCCGAGCACACGTACAGTGGGTCACTCGCTGACTCGCAGGAGTGAACTGGTCAACCCCCCCATCCTGTAGGTCAGCACCACTCACCAGGTTCGTAGAGAACGAGGGGAGGTAAAGACTAGACAGGGTGCCAGAAGGGGTTGCCGGACACGGTAAGACAGTGGAGAAGTGGGCAAGGACCGGACCCCCAGAGGGGTCTGCCAGTGAGACTGCAACCGGCCGACTAAGCCGCGTGAGTGTGGTGCGGTCTCGAAAGAAGGAGCGGGAAGCACCCGAGTCGAGGGTGAAAGTGTGCAAGGCCTGAGCCGACGTGGTACCTGAGAGAGCAGACTCACCAGCACCTGGGGCAGCAGACTCACTAGCACCTAGAGCAGCAGCCTCACCAGCACCTAGAGCAGCAGTCTCAATGCCCGGATCAGGCGGAACACACAGGTAACAGTCACCCTCATCACTAGTAGACACAACATACATGGCAGCAAGAATAGCATCATAATCCAGATCAAAGATAGCAACCCCCGACCTAAGCAGCTCGCCCCAGCGAGGGATCTCAGTGGCGTCAGGGAACTGGGGACGCCAAGCGTCCGTCAGGCGGCCGAAGCAGCGCTGGGTGGTGTGCGGACCACCGCACGGCTCACCAGTGCGGTCCCCGGTACGCAGGACGTAGGCACAAGGACCAGCACCCCCACCCCGCTGACTCGCAGCGTACCACTCACGAAGCTGCTGGGGGGGCGGGGTCTCACGAGTGCGCTGCTGCTGCTGGCGCTGACCACCACCAAAGCCACCCCGCTGCGCAGAGCCACCCCGACCCGCTCCACCGCTGCCACCGCCACCTCCACCGCCGCCGCTACCTCCTCCTCCTCCACTCCCACCACCACCGCCGCCGCCGCCTCCGCCTCCACCGCCGCCACCGAAGCCCCCACCCCCGCCACCACTCCCACCGCCACCCCCACCCCCTCCGCCGCCTCCACTGCCACCTCCACCGCCCCCGCCAGCTCCTCCAGCGCCCTTGCCCCCCTTGCCCTTGCCGGTGCGGCGTCTCCCGCTAGGGGCAGACGCAGCGCCGACCGACTCGGTGCCAACGAAGTCGACGGCAGCAGCAGAGGCAACAGAGGGCAAAAGGGGAGAGGGGGAGCACCCCTCAAAGAAGGGGGAACGCGGGTCACCACGAGAGGCTCCTACAGCGACTATACTCTTCTCAGCTGCCAGGAGGCGCTCCTCGAGGAGGTCAACGGTGAGTGTGGTGGGGCAAACAGAGAGGAAGTGGTCCCTGACCGAGCGAAGGGAGTCAGGGAGCTGAGTGACTAGGTAGTAGAGGGTGATGTACATGGGGGGGGGGTTCTTGGCGCAGAACTCAGCAGGAAGCGCAGCGCGGTAGCGGGCGTCACAAGTGCGAAGGTGCGTAATGAGGCCAGCGACTGTGGGAAAGGCGGCGAGGTCAGGGAACAGGTACGGCAGCATGAGGCGGCTAAGGGCAGCAGTGGCAGGGGAAGAGTAGCGTGCAATTACAGCGTCGTACAAGGTCTTAGCACTCTTGTACTGACTAAAGTGCGCGCGCTCAGAGGACGGCAAGTGACTACGCACAGCAAGACGGGAAGCAGCATCGCGTGTGGCCCACTGTGAGCGAACAGTGCTGTCAGCATCAGGAGCAGGGGCAGTAGAGGCGCCAGACGTGAGATCGAACAGTGAGAGACCGTCTTTCCTATCGCACTGTAGGAAAAGCAGCAGATCATCGACCCAGACCTCAAAGTCAACAGCCCGACCCTCAGCATCAAAGACGAGGACGCTAGGGGTAGCCATGACAGCAGTAGCAGCAGGCTAGAGGCAGTAGCAGTAGGGTAGGGGCAGCAGCAGCAGGCTAGGAGCAGTGCAGTCGCAGAGGCGCGGCTCGGTGGTGCTCTTACCAGGACGGGTGGGTAGAGTGCTGTAAGTGGCGGGGCAGGGCCGAGGCGCGCCGGCAGGGACAGGGCCGCGACAGCTGCAGCTGCTCCTGCTGTTGGCTGCGGCTGCAGCGGCCTCGGTAGCAGCGGGGGCAGCTGCCACGGCAGCGGCGGCGGCGGCTGCTCCAGGCGGTGATGACGGCGGCCGCGACTGCGGCAGCTGCGGCGGCGGCTGCTGCTGTCAGTGGCAGCGGCGGCTGCTGCTGTCACTGCACCGGCGGCAGTGGCTCCTGCTGTCGGCGGCGGCGGTGGCTGCTGCAGTTGGCGGCTGCTGCTGTTCGCGGAGGAGCCGAGAAGGGGCCGCTAAGGGCGGCGAAGGGGCCACGAAGGGCCGTGGAGGGGCCGCGAAGGGCGGTGACGGGGCCGAGACGGGGGCCGCGAAGGGCGGCGACGGGGCCGTGAGGGGCCGCGAAGGGCGGCGACGGGGCCGTGAGGGGCCGCGAAGGGCGGCGACGGGGCCGTGAGGGGCCGCAAAGGGCGGCGACGGGGCCCAGAAGGGGCTGCGAAGGGCGGTGACGGGGCCGTGAAGGGCGGCGACGGGGCCGCGAAGGGGCCGCGAGGGGCCACGAAGGGGCCGCGAGGGGCCGGAAGGGGCCGCGAAGGGCCGTGAGAGGGGCCGCGAGGGGCCGCGGAGGGGCCGCAAGGGAGCCGCGAAGGGGCCGCGAGGGGCCGTGAGAGGGGCCGCTACGGGGCCGTAAGAGAGCGCGACGGGCCGCTAAGGGCAGGGGACGCGACGGGAGGGTAGGTACACGGGGCGCGACTCGGGCAGGGGCGGAGCGCGTTCCGGGCAGGAAAAAAAAAATCCGATTTTCGGTGGGCCCTAGGAAACGTTCCCACTGGGGAACCTGCTCTATACCATGTGAAAGAACAAGGAATGAATGAACTAGAAATGAGATGGATACAAATATGAAACCCTAGAGAGTTGTACCCCTTAGTGTCTACCCCACTGTAGCCTACAGTGACTAAGTAATATAAGTCTGACAGCGGACGCTCTTCATTCGCGTGCGCCGATGACCGATGATGCTCGCCTCCCTCCCACGCCCTTGCTGGATTGGTAATAGGCCCAGACAAGCGCACCCACGTGATCCGGTGGAAGAAAGCGCTCGGAACGAGCGCTTCCACCCCCAAAATGCGGAAGGATCCGCGCATGTGCAGGAAGCGCAGCGGACGCTCTTCATTCGCGAACGCCGATGACCAATGATGCTCGCAACCCTCCCACGCCCTTGCTGGCTTTGTAATAGGCCCAGACAAGCGCAACCATATGACCCGGTGGAAGAAAAACGCCCGGAACACCCAAAAAACGCGGAAGGATCCGCACAGGAAGTGCAGCGGGCGCTTTTCATTTTCGAGCGCCGATGACCGATGACGCTCGCAACCCCCCCACGCCCTTGCTGGCTTTGTAATAGGCCCAGACCAGCGCAGCCACGTGACCCGGCAGAAGAAAAACGCTCGTAACGAGCGCTTCCACCCCCAAAATGCGGAAGGATCCGCACATGTGCAGGAAGTGCAGCGGACGCTCTTCATTCACGTGCGCCGATGACCGATGGTGCTCGCAACCCTCCCACACCCTTGCTGGCCTCATAATAGGCCCAGACCAGCGCATCCACGTGACCCGACGGAAGAAAAACGCTCGGTACGAGCGCTTCCAGCCCTAGAACGCGGAAGGGTCCGCACATGTGCAGGAAGTGCAGCGGGCGCTCTTCATTCGCGAGCGCTGATGACCGATGGTGCTTGCAACCCTCCCATGCCCTTCTGGCTTTGTAATAGGCCCAGACAAGTGCAACCATGTGACCCGGCATAAGAAAGACGCTTGGAACGAGCGCTTCTACCCCCAAAACCCGGAAGGATCCGCACAGGAAGTGCAGCGGGCGCTTTTCATTTGCGAGCGCTTTTCATTTGCGAGCGCCGATGACCGATGACGCTCGCAACCCCCCCACGCCTTTGCTGGCTTGGTAATAGGCCTAGACAAGCGCAGCCACGTCACCCGGCGGAAGAAAAGCGCTCGAAACGAGCGCTTCCACCCCCAAAATGCGGAAGGATGCGCACATGTGCAGGAAGTGCAGCGGACGCTCTTCATTCGCGTGTGCCGATGACCGATGATGCTCGCAGCCCTCTCACACCCTTGCTGGCTTGGTAATAGGCCCAGACAAGCGCAGCCACGTGACCCGGCGGAAGAGAAACGCTCGGAACGACCGCTTCCACCCCCTAAAACGCGGAAGTATCCACACATGTGCAGGAAGTGCAGCGACCGCTCTTCATTCGCGAGCGCCGATGACCGATGATGCTCACAACCCTCCCACGCCCTTCCGGGCTTGGTAATAGACCCAGACAAGCACAGCCACGCGACCCAACGGAAGAAAAACGCTCGGGCGAGCGCTTTCACCCCCAAAACGCGGAAGGACCCGGACATGTTCAGGAAGTGCAGCGGGCGCTCTTCATTCGCGGGCGCCGATGACCGTTGATGTTGGCATCCCTCCCACGCCCTTGCTGGCTTGGTATTAGGCCCAAACAAGCGCAGCCACATGACCCGGCGGAAGAAAAACGCTCGTAACGAGCGCTTCCACCCCCAAATGCAAAAGGATCCGCACTGTGCAGGAAGTGCAGCGAGCGCTCTTCATTCCCGAGCGCCGATGGCCGATGATGCTCGCAACCCTCCTATGCCCTTGCTGGCTTGGTAATAGGCCCAGACAGGCCAGCCACGTGACCCGGCGGAAGAAAAACGCCTGGAACGAGCGCTTCCACCCTCAAAACGCGGAAGGATCTGCACATGTGTAGCGGACGCTTTTCATTCGCGAGCCCTGATGACCAATGATGCTCACAACCCTCCCACGTCCTTGCTGGCTTGGTAATAGGCCCAAACAAGCGCAGCCATGTGACCCGGCGGAAGAAAAACGCTCGGAACGATCTCTTCCAGCCCCAAAATACGGAAGGATCCGCACATGTGCAGGAAGTGCAGCGGGCGCTCTTCATTCGCGAGCGCCGATGGCCGATGATGCTCGCAACCTTTCCACGCCCTTGCTAGCTTGGTAATAGGCCCAGACAAGGCAGCCATGTGACTTTGTCAAACTATATCTGTGCTAGTACAACCCAATGTTAGGGTTAGTACTTGTACCCACAGTTCATTTAATGCAACCATTCATGCTTGCTATCTTGACATGGTTTCAGAGCAGTAGGTCCGTAGGACCATTTTTTCCGGGCCCACCATACTTAGCAACTTTACGGCTACCGCGTTCCCCCACTGCCCTACCCCGCGTCGCGCCGCCCCACGCACGCCCTGCCCTGCCCCGTGTCGCGCTGCCCCGCGCACGCCCTGCCCTACCCCGTGCACGCCCTGCCCTGCCCCGCGTCACGCTGCCCCGCGTGCGCCCTGCCATGCCCCGCGTCGCGCTGCCCCTTGCGTGCCCGCCTTACCCCGTGCACGCCCTGCCCTGCCTCGTGTCGCGCTGCCCCGTGCACGCCCTGCCCTGCCCCGTGTCGCGCTGCCCCGCTCACGCCCTGCCCTGCCCCGCGTCCTGCTGCACGTCGCGCCCTGCTGCACGTCGCGCCCTGCTGCCTGAGCGACGCGTCCTACGGCAGCCCGCGCGTTGCACTCTGCTGCCCCGCGAGTCGCGCTCTGCTGCAGCCCGCGCGTCGCGCCCTGCTGCCCCGCGCATCGCGCTCTGCTGCAGCCCGCGCGTCGCGCCCTACTGCCCCGTGTGTCGCGCCCTGCTGCAGCCCGCGCGTCGCGCCCTGTTGCCCCGCGCATCGCGCTCTGCTGCAGCCCACGCGTCGCGTCCTGCTGCTCAGTGCATCGCGCTCTGCTGCAGCCCGCGCGTCGTGCCCTGCTGCCCCGTGTATCGCGCCCTGCTGCAGCCCGCGCGTCGCGCCCTGCTGCCCCGCGCATCGCGCTCTGCTGCAGCCCGCGCGTCGCGTCCTACTGCCCCGCGCGTCGCGCCCTACTGCAGCCCGCGCGTTGCGCCCTGCTGCAGCCCGCGCGTCGCGCCCTGCTGCCCCGTGTGTCGCGCCCTGCTGCAGCCGGCGCGTCATGCCCTGCACCCCTGCACAACACGCGCCCTGCTGCCCGCGCTGCCCAACGCGAGCCGCCCTGCCCAACCCGATCCGCCCTGCTACTTGGGCTAATGTTGCTGCCACTGGAGGTGCTGCAGCCTAGCCTCACCGAACCGCTCTGCTGCTCTTAGTGCTGCTGCTGCTGCTGCTACTCGTGCTACTGCCTTCACTCCGTACTGCCCTAGAGGTCGCGCTCCTCCTAGCTTGCCCGCCATGACTTCACTTCGTAGCAGCAGTGGGAGTGGTGCCGGCGGTGGTGGCAGCAGTGGGAGTAGTGGCGGCCGTAGTAGCAGTCACTGTGGCGATGTTCGGTGCGGAGTTTCTGGCGGTGGCCAGATGTAGCTACAGCGGCGTCCGACCCTTACGCCCCAGTAGCTTCGTGAGTGGCTTTACCAGCGTGGGACGTCTCCGAGTACTAGTCGCTGCCCGTACGTCATTCGCACATGTCGTTGAGCTGGTCAGACCTGTGGGACA